TTTATCTCTCTCTCTCTCCTCGCCCCGAAAAAGAAAAACCCTATTAATGAAGTAAAAATGTCCTCTTTCAACTTCAATGTATGCATCCTCTAAAATTCAGATTTCATAGAAGTAAAACGGTAGACATTTAAAAAACAAAACGTCGCTGTTCCAACACCAAACCCCCGAAAAACATACGTTTGAGTAAAAAAGAAGGAACAAAAAGGAAAGAAAACCACATAATAAATCATGCGCATTACAAAGTAGGCGTTCATGCCTGGCATGTCAGTTTCATAGTTTGAGGGATTGCATTACCCAAAATCCAAGAGGATCTTAACTCAGGAACTTGCTAATGCAGACAAAGAAACAACTTATCAAATCAACGTTCCTACCACCGTTCTGCTCCCAGTGCAAATGTGGCCCTCAACAAAGAGAGAAAAAGTAAAATGACAGCATGCCAAATGGAGTCAAGTCTCAGGAACGCGTTAAACATCACGAGAAGAGACATCAGACAACAAGTCGAATCGACCATAAAATGCATTGAGAAACAACAAATACGGTGTTTTTGGAAATGTTATGAGAATAGGACCCTAACAGCCAACCTCAAAAGCTTACAGCGTGCGATACAATGGCCTTAAGGCAAAAGGAGGGCCAATAAGAAGATGGATCGATGGAGTCAAAGAGACACTTCTTGTTTATGTTCCCCCGCCAGATCTCATTAACTTGCAGTGCCTCTGATTTTTTCGTAAAAGACCGTTTCTCCTTCTTAGTAGGGCCCCTTGCCTTCAGGCCGCCACTCTCCGATTTCGAAGGTACTCTGAATGATTTGATTCTGTTTGATACTGTTTAGATAGAATGTTTTCAGTTTTGGTAGGAATTAATTCTGAATTTTGCCCAGGTGGTGGCCGGAGCCTAAACTTGTTGATTTAAGGACCACCAAGGTATCTTCAAAGTGGAAAAATTACACACGTGATCTCCGAGATAGTTTCGTCTTTATTCGAGAAGACAGGCGTTCAAGCTTACCTGCCCTAAGATCAGGGGTGTGGCCGAAAGACAGCAGTGAGAAGTAGCGAGGAGTAAAAGTAGAAAGTGGAGATGAATTCAGATAACAGAACATGACTAGAAAGCTGTAGGAAAAAAGGTGAAATGAAAAAAACTTCAGAGAAGAAAACTTTTTGTTGTTATCCGGATTCGAACCTGGGACCTTTTGAATAAAAGGCAAACACCGTACCCCAAGACCACAAGGGCCCCAAAAAGACACTTCAAAGACACAAGGGCTGATCTTAGACAGTTGGCCCTTTTGGGCAGCATCACTATGGAATACAAACACCGAGAGGGTAGAGCTAGTTAGATGAGTGGTCATTTGTACAGGTGATTCTCTTTGACAGGAGGTTGTTAGAGAACGTTCGACTGCATTAATTCTAACAACGTTGTCCGTGTTATAGATCCCTGCAACCATACTGGAAAGTCTATAATTTAATTTCGATCTTGTCAAAACTCGCTAAGACTTATTTAGTCGCATGTTCGCCAGTGAAGCCTCAAGTTTCAGGTTTATTCCGGACCAAACTGAATCCGCATATGAGAAACAAAACACTATTTATTAGTTTAGATAAAAGCTCTCCGAAAAAGACCAGTCTTGTTAACAGACAAACCTTCTTTCAGAGGGAAAGTAAAATCCGTGGTTGCAGGGTGTTGTCTAATTCGTAGGCTAAGCTCAACATGCTTGGGAGATCACGTAATTAAGCGAGTCAATAAATGTTATCCCTGGCTCTTAATTTTGGGAGAGTCCATTATTGCATCCTGGTGTATTTATTTCCTTTACAGTGTTTAACAGGAAAGTCGAAAGGATTCGTCTTTGAAACTTGTAGAGTCAAAAGGATGCAAACCTGGAGGTCTCCCATCTCACAGGGTGGGCACCTTACTGACTGTAAGATGCGACCCGTACGGGTAGAAACCGGTGTTTCTTGTTGTGAGTATATTTCTCAACAATTCCTTCTTTATCACGTATTCAATAAGAGACATTATTAATATAATACCGATAATGAAACGGCTAAGTCATTAATAGCAACTGACGGAACACACATACTGAAAAAAATTAAATGTTCAATCTTACACTGTGTTGAGTTGCTTTACATACGACATGTACTTAATCACAAAGACGTGCTGATGGCAGAATCCGAGTGACACAAATTCCATCCCCGAACCTTGCACCTAAACACACACACACACACACACACACACACACACACACACACACACACACACACACACACACACACACACACACACACACACACATATATATATATATATATACTAATATGACATACCTGCCAGTTCCTTGACAATGTCTCAAGCCATCTGCGTAACATTTCAGAACAGGAAGTGTAACATTCGATTGAGTATCTGCAGTGGAAACCACATTGATTTAATGACTTTGGGAGCATAGTGCAATTTATGGTGTAACTGTGTGGTCTTTGTGGGGCACCCTGGTGATATCAGACGCTTGCCCCCCCCCCCCCCCCCCCCAGAATGAAATCAAAAGAATCGACATTTTTCCGTCAGTTTTGGCATTTTTTATAGATGTTTTACTTTTTTGGCTCAACACATTTTACGTCAATTTTAAAACACATTTGTGTGTGGATTTTTATTGAAATATGTTAATTAAAGCCACAAAAATTGCAAATATTCTATTTCCAAGGACTCTCAAACTGTGGATGTCACCAAAATTTGGCGGCCATTTTCTCGCTAATTTTACCTCTTAAACTAGGCCACCTCCACCCCTTCAATCGTAAATATCTCGACTTCTTTTCAAGAGAGATGGATATCTTTTCTGAGAAAGCAAGACGAATAAACAAGCATTAAGATAATACCAATAACTCTACTTGCACCTGATTCCACCGCGTCGAGATACTTATTATCCTAGATCTATGTGTGAATTTTTTAAAACTGTAAAGTGTTAAATGAGTGTTAGTGTAAGATATCATTTTTCTGAGAGTAAAAAAAGACGCATTAGAATGTGAAACAAGGTGACACAAATTTCACCCCCAAACTCCCCACCCAAATGCGTATTTGGGAGGGGGAGACAGACACAGAGAGAGGGGTGAGGTGGAGAGACAGAGAGAGGAGGGAGAGAGACAGAGAGAGAGAGAGAGAGAGAGACAGAGAGAGAGAGAGAGAGAGAGAGAGAGAGAGAGAGAGAGAGAGAGTCACGAGATTGTTGGTGTGTATTCAACAGTAAGTCATGAATTTGGCAGGCGAACAAACCCAAACATAGAAACTCACATATGAGCGTATGCTTAGCCCCCATAAGTTGTGATCAATCTATAATCGTTCTTATAAGCTTCACCCTGTTAATCATGGGTGGTCAGTCGTTGCTTCTGGCGAGTGGACATTCAGAGAGACCAAGTGAAAAAGGGCTCTAAGCTATTGGCAATCCGCCTAAGAAACTAACGTGAGCCAACTGAAATCCCGTTACCAATAACATTTATTTGATCTTGATTGGAGCGGTAAGTTGCTTTAACATTTCTGTTTAAAATTAAGACAAAAAATATGTTTTGTCATAAGGTGTGGTGTAATTGTAATTTTTATTTTTATTTTGATGTGGATAGATCTAATGTTTTGGGGTTGGTGTTTTGTTTTGTTTTGGGGGGAAGGGTTCTGAAGCTGTCTTTTTATGACAGTGATTTGATGATGATGAAGATGATGATGATGATGATGATGATGATGATGATGATGATGATGATGATGATGATGATGATGATGATGATGATGATGAATGTGTTGATAACGATGACAACGACTAAGCAGTTATCCACCTGTCTAAGGAAGCAACTCCCATCAATTTCGTGACGATAATAATAATAGTATGTTTAGAGAAAGATTTATTCTTAGCCACTCTTGATAAAACCTTCGACGGGAAACTTTTGGAAATTTTTGTAACTAAAATTTTTACTAACATTTATCGACCGAAAACTACTCAAGACTGTCACTCTCTACTTTTTCAACAATGATGATGATGATGAAAATGCTGCTGCTGCTGCTGCTGCTGCTGCTGATGATGATGATGATGATGATGATGATGATGATGATGATGATGATGATGATGATTTTAATCTTCATTATCTTTTAGATAGCATAACGCTTTTGGTGCGACGCCGAACTCTGAGAGTAATTCTTTCCAGCGCCATATTATCATGTCCAGCCTCAGCGTCACTTTTCTCTACCATGTTCAATTCTAAATCTTTATCTTTTATAAGAACGCCTAGTTCTATAGTAAAAAGAATTGAAAAAAGAAATACAATCACATAAGAGGCAGGCCGCTTTAAACCTCCATGTCAGGGATAACCCTATTAGAGAGAAATACAGCACCTCAGCTGACAGGTGCATAATTCTACATAAAAAGCTTTCACTTTGGAATCGAACTCACGTCTACTGTGGGCAACGAGCAAGGGGCCCAACCGCTACGCCACTGACGCGACTGTTGTGTTCAGGTACAGCTCTTTCAAAATATCCTCCTCCAAATTGTCTATATCTTTTTTTGAACCATCTACTATAGATATACTATAACTATAATCCATCTTCTTTATGGGAATGAATCCCGTGATCTGCCCCTAGGTTCCTTAGTTTAGCTTTAGTAAGAGTTTTACGGTACTTGGAACACAATAATATCATATAAGTGCCGAAGATTAAAGGGTTTACTGTTTTACAAACACTAAAAAGAACCAGTAGAGATAAGGACGATAGATTTTCATCTCTCCTCCTCCTTTTCTGTGTTTGTTAGTTGTTGTTTTTTAAAACTGTGTTAACGTTTTGTTGCAGAAAGCCAGTGATAGCAGTCAAGACCAGATGTAACTGCTTTCAAGAAAAAAGCAGGTGTCCGCCAAGAGGACAACCTTTCCAATAATAGTCCAAGGAAACTACTTTGACCAGCATTTCAGTGTACCCGCAGAGTGCCGATTGCAATTACCTTATTCGCCAGAGTACTGATTTGAAAATCAAAGCTGGTGATAGTGGGCGCCATGTTGCGTTATATTGCTCTTCTCGTGCTTCTCCTCACAGGCACAACTGACGCTGGTGAGTGAGTGAGTGAGTGGGTGAGTCAGTGAGTGAGTGGGTGAGTGAGTGAGTGAGAGAGTTAGTTAGTGAGTGAGTGAGTGGGTGTCTGAGTGAGTTAGTGAGTGAGTCAGTGAGTGTGGTGTGAGTGAGTGATTTAGTGAGTGAGCGAGTGAGTGAGTGAGTGAGTGAGTGAGTGAGTGAGTGAGTGAGTGAGAAGATCAATTAGTGAGTTCGAGAAAGAATAAAAACATGAACGGAGTACTGACAAAGGGGGTGAGTTAATGAAATTTACTTATTAACATAAAAGATAACAAGAGAGTTAAAACTTCATTCTGGTGGGATGATGAAGTAGACTTTCTTTTCTCACACAAAATTCTTTCTAAACTTTACTCGTTTTTACTCCAACACAAACAAAAGACACAAAGCACAATTAATTGTATTGCACATTGGGAAATATATTTTATTAAATATTATAAGATGCATAAATTTCAAGGCAACTTCAAACACACACACATACACACACACACAGAGAGAGAGA